CCCCCCCCCCCCCCCAAAAAAAAAAAAAAAATTACTTCAAGTTATGGTAATTAAGCTTTCTATATAGAACATATATAAAAGGGTTTTTACATGAAAATCATCTTAACTAATACCCAAATTGCAAATTATCACCTTTTTTTTTGTAAACCAACTTAGTTTGCTTATATGTTATCAATGTCACACTCTTTGACATTTTGTATTTTAAAAAATGTGAAATTAATATAATACCCCTCAATTTAACCCAAGAGAAAAAAGGAGAGGGGAAAAGGAAGGGAGGTAGAGGGGGAGAGGAGGAAAGGGCTAGGGTTCGGAGAAACTCTAGAAATGGAGGAGATGGCGGTAGATGTGGACGAGGACGGTGAGGGGGAGAGGAGAGAAAAAGGAGGAGGTGGAGGGGGCCACTGGTGGAGGGGGAGGAGATGAGAAAACAAATTAGGGTGGAGAAACCCTAGAGGTGGAGATGGTGGAGATGGAGGAAGAAGAAAAGATGGAGAGGAGATGGAAGAGATGAGGTAGGGGAGGACGGGATGGGGAGAGGGGAGGTAGGTGATACGGGTGTATATTCTCTTCGGAACTTAGCGATCCTCATGGGGAGCTTAAGAATAGATGATTCTCATAATAACATGAGAATAGAGCTGTAAAATAACACAATGGAACGCAGGTTGAAACGTGGAACGAGACGGCGAATCGAAGAATCGAAGCATCTAGTTTTCAGCCCGTAAGTCGACTCATAACAGTCATGAGTCGACTAATCAGGTTGAGTCGACTCATGCCTATAATAAGTCGACTCATGAAACTCAGCCATTTTGTCGAAAATCTCTGACCAGTCGACTCATCACTGTATGAGTCGACCCATGTGTCATGAGTCGACTCATGCATGTTTATGAGTCGACTCATCGAAGGATTCCTGGTTCGTTTGGGTTTCTGTTTGCATGAATTCTTATAGGGTTTAGGCTTGGTTATTTACCACTTTACCATCCACGTTGTTACACCTATATAAGGGATTGTTTTAGGGTTTCTAAGGGAGGGGATGTAATAAAAGAGAGATTCTAATCAAGAGAGTTTAGGATTTAGAGAGAATTGAGAGTTTGTTCTCGATTCTAGTGAGATTGTGAGAGAGGGATTATAATCTTTTTATATCATAATCTAGAGGGTATTTTTCTTCGCCACATACTGAATTATTCTTGTGTTTTTGTCATCCTCTTCTCAACCCACCTTTGATAATTCCGCAATTATTCTTGTGTTTTTGTCATCCTCTTCTCAACCCACCTTTGATAATTCCGCGATCAAAGGTGCTCGCACGGCGACTCGTATCAAATCCTCTTCTCAACCCACCTTTGATAATTCCGCGATCAAAGGTGCTCGCACGGCGACTCGTATCAAATTAGTATCAGAGAGATCATATCCTGTGAAGGGGGCATCCTATGTATGATCCTGACTCGATTGCAATACAAGAAGCTAGACGAGATCCTTATTTCATTGGAAGGAGTCCAAAATTTAAGAAAGAAGAAGATGACTGAAGGAGATAGTTCAGCAATGCTAGATGCATTGGAGAAGCAGATGGAGATAATGGACTCGATCCTCGTGCAACTCGTCAATCTTGTCTAAGACAGAAAACAAGGAGGAATCTTCTTCGAAAGGCAAGAAGAAACTTGTGGAGTCCGATGGAGAAGGCGAGGATTCTGATTCAGATGAGGAGGCCCGTATTGTTAAGTCTGTTTCACACCAAAGGGGTAAGAATTCTTACCAGAATTTGAAGATAGACTTCAAAGTGGAGATTCCTATTTATGACGGGAGTGTCAACGTCGAGAGGCTTGATGATTAGATCGAGCGGATGGAGACCTATTTCACACTCTACGGATATTCATCCAAGGAGAAGCTCGTGTTCGCGACTTTGAAGCTTTCGGGGCATGCATTGACATGATGAAAATCCTACTGCAAGCAGGAGAAGAAGACGGTGTCGTGGAATAAGTTTAAGGAGCCACTGAGAAAGCAGTTCTATCCAGTGGGATTCCTTGAGGAGCGTTGGTACAAGTGGTACGGTTTGCGCTAAAGATTCAATCAGACTGTTTAAGAGTACACGACGAAGTTCCAACTGCAGGCGATGGTTCTAAACGTCACGACGGACGAATACTTCATCTTCATGAAGTACATGACGGGTGTGAACGAATACATCCGGAAGGAGATAAAGCTATTTACAGTCGAGTCTATTATAGAGACAAGCGTGAAAGCTATTGCCATCGAGCTCAAGCAAAAGAAGAGCAACGAGGCAAAAGGAGATGCAAAACAGATGAGAGGTGAGTCTAGGGGCTCCAAACTTAATGAGGAGAAGAAGGATGATCCAGGAAGAGCAGAACTAATTTATAGTCACTGCGAGAAGACAGGACATGTCCCTGATCGATGCTGGGAGAAGTTTCCTTATCTGAAGCCAAAGAGGTTGAAGAAAAAAGAGGAAAAAAAGACATACATGATAGCACAGAGTCCGAAGGAAGTTCCTGGGATGACAGAGCCCAACAGTAGTCTCAATCTTATGGTAGGAAAACAGGTCACGAAAGAGGACGAAGACCCGCGAAAGCAGCTCTTTGTACTGAAGTTGCAAGTGAATACCAGTTTGGTTGATGTTATTGTTGATCCAGGCAGCGAAAAAAATTTGATATCTGAGGCTTTGGTTCAGAAGCTGGGTCTGAAGACAATCCGAAACTCTATCTATTGGGGTGGATTCAAAAGGAGACGGGACTAAGTGTAGTTGATCAATACACTGTCAGATTTGCACTCCACGAGTCGTATATTGACAAGGTCACATACGACGTCATTCCATTGGATGTTTGTCAGGTTATACTGGGCAATCCGTACTTATGGGATAGATACGCGATCTACGAAAGACGGACTCAAAAGTACACATTCACCAAGGATGGTAAAAAGTTCATATTTCGCTCGGCGTCTCTTCCGAGGGAGGTAAACTTAGCGACAGTGACGCGAGCGAAGAGGCTAGTGAATGTAAGCAAGAAGTTTGTCTCGCTATGCATTAGACTTCAAGACGAGCCATCGAAAAGAAGTTGCATGTTGGAGCGGAAGACGATTACGATAAGGCGAGGAACGAAGGAGTCGTTTCCAGTTGTACGTCGATATCAGGTTCCTAGCAAGGCCAGGTGGTACAGAAAGGATGGAGGAGCTCGCGAGTTTCCTCAGCTAAAGTTCTAACTTGAATGAGACTTCAAGTTCCTAAAGGGGGACCCATGATACGAGTGTATCTTCTCTTCGGAACTTAGCAATCCTCATGGGAAGCTTGAGGATAGATGATTCTCATAATAGCATGAGAATAGATGTGTAAAACAACACAGTGAAACGTAGGTTAAAGCGTGGAACGAGACGACGAATCGAAGAATCGAAGCATCCAGTTTTCAGCCCGTAAGTCGACTCATAACAATCATGAGTCGACTCATCAGGTTGAGTCGACTCATGCCTGTCATAAGTCGACTCATGAAACTCAGCCGTTTTGTCAAAAGTCTCTGACCAGTCGACTCATCCCTGTATGAGTCGACCTATGTGTCATGAGTCGACTCGTGCATTTTTATGAGTCGACTCATCGAAGGATTCCTGGTTCGTTTGGTTTT